CTTCACCCACTGTCCCCATTTTATCCACTGGTCCTGATTAAACTTGACAGACACTGGTGCATTTCACACATAACCTCTATGGTGCAACCACGTTTATTTCTACATGAGATATAAACACGCACACATAACTGTAAAGGCCTGAAGATGAAGTTACGAAAACACGCTTGTTCGCCATACTGTTTTGCTTTTAATATTCAATTAACTCGGCTTCATCTTCCAACTTTACTGTGGCTGGCTTCTCGGAGAGGATAAGCCGGCTCTATGGCGATCGTGGAGTTTGATACGTGAGACGTCCCCAACGTCACGGCGTTTTGTTTCGAGGAGACACCTCTGGCCCTAGCAAAACCAAATGAAAACTGCAAAGCGTGTTAGTACGCGGTTACCGGTAGCTCCGTATTAGTTCATTCGTCTTTCGGTACATTTAGGTACATTCCAGGGTCCATACAATACTATTTTTTGAACAGGCTTCCTTCATAGCCGTTGCATCAGGTAGGGCATCTGTACTACCCATTCAGAAGTGGCTGCCCTGGCATGCCGTTCACCATCTTGCTAAAGCTTTCATACCTCGGTTACCGTCGTTCTGGTTTAACCCGCTTGTCGAGCAATTTCTTGGAATGTGACCACTGATTCATGCTTCCATCAGGAAACCACGATTGAGAGTTGGGTACATGATGTGAATCACAGACGAGGAAGAGGGTATCTCAAAATTGGACGTGACAATCTACTCACTTTGAGGGGCCACTCCGAACCGACAGCAGTGGCGTTCTTGTTGTCGTTTCTTATCAGGTCAGAATGCTTGAAACGGTATGTATGCAGAGTTCGATTGCGTACTCTGTGTGTTGACCATAGAGGTTCACCTTCTTCCCACTTCCTCAAAATAGGTCCACTCCCTGTCCACCTTAAATTTTACCCCTAACCTTGTATACGTTGCAAGTTTGGCAGCGATCAGTGAAATTCGCCAAGCTGTATTTCGCTGTACGATTATGATGATGACAAGCGTTCCGGGATTGGTGAACTCTGGCAGTTAATTTATGGTTACTAGAAATCAGTCTCTCGTTTGTAGCCGTGCATAGAAGGGACAAAGTGAGTGAACGTCATTCGACGGTAGTACTTATTCCCACTGACCAGTATTAAGACCAAGTGTGATCAAGTTGTCATCATCATCGATTCGTACAGGATTGCATTCATTCTTTCCACCTCGTGTGATTCGACTATGACTTTGTTCCACTTGTTATCGTCCCTTTGTTTTGAAGGAATTTCTCCAATTATCCTGACACTAAACAGACGAATCCCGGTTGGAGTGTACGTAAGATTAGTAGTCCAAAAACGGAGAAACTCCAGTCGAGGTGTCGAATAACTGTGGACGAGGTCACGTCGATGCATGCAAAACCGAATGGAAGTCGAGAATATTCGTCTATGCCAGAGAAAAGTCATTATTTTCACTTCCGAATGAAGATGTACATAGATTGCATTAGATTGTTGACAGACAACCTAAAAAATCTTGATTGCTTTTCATCACAGCTCGTACTTACTGATGAATAGAATCAAACTTCCATTTTCTTGTACTTTATTTTTCAAGAGCTTGCTTTTATCGTTTAAGGAATCTTCTGTGCATGGTTCACGCGATCCATAAGACGGTGTCCTAATGAGCTCGATTGTGTATCATATTTAATCGAAGCTGATGAAATGAAAGTATTCCCCGGACCATGTGTTCTTTCAAAAAATGGATCTTCTAATCTAGTCGGTAGGCAATGCTTATATCTAAAACGGGATATAATCGTCTGGTTCATCACCATGAATTCACGGGAGGTCATGACCGATTTTGCTGAGTCAATGAAGTTAGTTTCTCTGTCTTCCTTGATCTCACTTATAACAAGAATGTTTTTGGCCTGGAGCTAGCCTACGTTTAATTTTAGAATAGATCTCTTCTCGCTCGTTTAGGTGACCAGGATCCCTATCCGTAAGAATGGGTTCTGGCCGACTGTCCACGGTAACTCCATCTATCTGCCAAAATCCGAGTTCGAGAAGTGAAAGCCTAACGTTTTCGCTTGCCTTTTGATTGGTGTCCGTCATTTTTGTGCTTTGTGCTGTTCGATTTTGTTGTTGTTACCAAACTCGTCTTCGTCTAACGTTTGTTGTTTTGCTAACTAAAAAGATCACCTTTGCTGCAGTATACACGTTGACAGAGGCAACGAATTAATCTTGATGTGTTGTGCGGACATGTGTTTGCTACTTCACTATTCAGACCACTCTGAAATGCACAAGAATATCCTATCTAGTATGAAAACTACGGTAGTTTTAGTTGTAGTAGCAAGCAAAGAAAATATACGTGTGTGTTAATTGACGTGAATCGTTGCGTAGTACTCCAAAAATTGCCGCTGTTTTATGGCGGACTAATCAATGCACTCCGACACAACCAAAAGCAGTACATATGTTACAGTCAATTGCCACATGTCATTCTGCTTACAGACAACCGTGCATTTCCTAAAATAGCCTCCCTCTGTTTGACCGCAGCTCTCCTCCTGCAAGTTGATTACATATTTGTGTACTCATCAAATACAAAAAGAAGTAAAATCATTGGTATCATTACTATGCTAATCATAGGAGCCTCAGGGTAGAATAGAAAGATCTATTTTTAGTGAACCAGGGGAAAGTCGGATAAACTTGCTGCTAGAATTTACACATCCCAAAATATGTGAACTATGGACGCGAATATGGAAATGAAACTAGGCTTGTTAAAGGAAATATGAATTTGTTTCAACTGGCGATCAAAGTCACAAAAATCCGCATTAATTCACACAGTCAATCACAGAAATAAGCTGTTTCGTCGTGTAATCACTTGCTACAATTACCGTGCGAAATCTGGTTACGCCTCATCTGATAGCTTTTCCTCCACCAGATTCCCAATGTATTCTGTGCCGGTGCAGATCTGCGCGAACGAGCGGACGTCCCGGATCCGGATGTGCCTGCCCTTGTTGGTGGTCTTCGATCGCTGTTCCATCGGTTCTACACTCNCTACACTCTTCCTCAGCCAGTAATTGCTGCTATCGATGGGTCGGCACTAGGTGGTGGTTTAGAGTTGGCTCTGGCATGCGATGTCCGATTTGCGGGCAATTTGCCACGCTGTCAGATTGGCCTGATAGAAACACACTGGGCTTTGCTACCGGGTGCGGGTGGAAGCCAGCGTTTACCTCGTCTGATTGGTCCGGCCAAAGCGAAAGAGCTTATGTTTGCCGCGCAACGTTTGTCTCCCACTGAGGCTGCTGCGGCCGGTGTGGTGAACGCGGCCGTGGATCCGAGCGATGTGCCCGAGGAGTGGCGTGATATGCCTGCATTCTATCACTCCATGCAGTACGTCAGTGTGCTCAAAACCAAAGGCCCGATTGCTCTCCGTTTGCTTAAACGGGCCGTAAATGAGGGATTGGATGCACCGACTCTGGAACGCGGCCTGCAAATCGAGGGCGAATGTTACACTCGACTGGTGCCGACAAAAGATCGTAAAGAGGGCATGGCTGCGTTTAAAGAAAAACGACAACCGATCTACCATGGCCATTAGTTTAAGGGAACATCACTTTGGTTTGTAATGTTTTTCATATGAGATACTTTTGTGATTTTTTTTCTTGCATTGATAATTTGTTTCTTTCACACTTCACTTGATAAATATATGTAATAGTGACATTTTTCAAATACCTTGTTCTTTCTCTCTCCCCCCCCCCACCTGTCTGACGAGTTTTGGTTATCTTTTGTTCCATTTGGGGGCTTCAGGATCGTCTTCATGTGCACCTGTGCGATTGTATGTGTGATGGCTATGTTTTTGCGCAATAGTGTTAACATTGTTAGTACAACAAACAAAGCACACCGTCTTTCGGTTAGTCCCCTATTATAGCGAGTACAGTTACGTGCACGGGAAAATTCAGCTCCAGTCACTGTAAGTCACAGTAAGTGTCCAAGATATGCTGCATCTGCTCACATTGCATAACTGCCTCCGCAAAGCCATTGATTCGCCTCCCACCCCCTCCCTATTCCTGGGGTTCATTGGGCCTCTGAATGCATTAACACGAATAGAATAGAATAGAGTATAAATGAGCTGTTTGAGATCTCAGATTGTATCCAATTTTTAGGAATGTATTAGTTTCAAGCGTCAGGCGGCGGTCAATTGATGCCGATCATTTTCACATCGCTTCGGCACTCACGTGTTCGAATCCGAACATCGTTGCCAAACCGTCTTATTGTTATTGTACCCCTCGGAAAGCTATCGGATTGGCCGCATCCCCCTTCTGGAAGATTGATGCTACCATGGTCTGTGCAGTAGAAGGAAGCGCAAAATTGACGTTAGGTCGACAACGATGGATGGGTGTGTCGCGAATAACGTGCAAAACTTTATTAACGCCCCACGGAATATCATGCATCCGGCATGACAGTATACTCTACTGTCCTTGTTTCACCTCGGTTTAATCAACAAGGATGGTAGTTTACGCCCTTCCAGCATTGAATTCCTTCGAATTCCCGTGCGAACATGTGATTCCGCTGCAGCGTACCGCTATCCGGTTAACAAAGAATAACACTACAGTTGATGCATTGTTTCTGTGGTATACTGTGATGGTTTATCAAAAGTAATTGAATGTTTAGTACCTGAGACGTTGACGGCACACACTCTCGATGCCATCGTAACGCGGAAACGACACACCCTTAAAATCTTAAACAGCTAATTTCGGATTTCACCCGGGCGATTCATGAAAATCCACATCCCTCCGATCTGAGGGACGCACCAACGATATATATATATCTGTGTGTGTGTGTGTGTGTGTGAGGGATTCCGTGCATCTGTTTGCGAACCGAGTTGTTTAAGCTGAGTGGACCGGAATTAGGCATCGCCCTGCCACTGCTCATTGTTCTCTTTCCTAAAGCTCATAACGGAAAAGATTGGAATTGCACCCGGAGCATTTGCTAATGACTTACTGATCCAACCGCAGCAAGAAACAATGTGTCATCAAGATTTATGCACATAATATATACCAGCTAAAATAACCACATGCTCCGTTCTCATCCAAGCTCATCAACAGAAGCGTTCTGTTGTTTGTTCTCAGAATATTAGCCACGTCGGCTCTAACCATGCTTGTAAGCCTAAGACTTCTCGGGTGATAGCCAAGCACGTGGAAATATGGTTAGAAGTGGAGGTCCTCGAGTTTGAACAGCCACACTGACGGCCACTCCCAAAAGTCCAGCATGATGTGAAGTTACCGCTTCTTGCTAGGGATCAATCTTCAGTAAAAAAATGAATGGTAGGGCAAGAATGACACTAATCAATCATGTGGCTGGCGATGTGTCTGCAAGTGGTGACTAATCCTCTGAAATCAAACACCAGAACGGACACAAGGGGCGAGTCCACGTCCTATCCATCGTCTGGATATCGATCACGAGGTTTAATCCGAGTAACGAGCATCCTGACACCAACACCCGTTCGTTGACAAGCTTTGTTGAAAACTGTAACGGATACCGATTGTCCGCTAGGTGTGACAAATCCCGCTTCTGTCAACACAAGTACGCGCACGATGCAAAGCGAACCCAAACGAAAACAACCAATTGGATTCGGTAAAAATGCGGTCCTATATTAATATATAAAGAAATCTGACAGCGACGTAAACAGAACGTATCTCATCAGTTAAGTAAAGCGAGGTGTACCCATGACGCACACAAAGATGGGTTGGAGGCTGTGACGGATAGCCACGGATGAAGAGCGTTCGAGGTTAAGACAGATTGTTGATTAATTTTCTACAGAAAGTTTCGGATCCAACGCAGTGAAAACCGAGACTATCTGGGGATACGGCACAATTATTCTCAATCAATATACAAGTATTGTTTCGTAACCTTACGGCCATCAGCCCCGTCCATCGCATGCCTTTTGCATCTAATTGACCGAACTACTGCATTTTCAGTAATCCTATCCAACATCAGTTCAGGTTTACTGCAGTTGACTGAAGTAATTGTGAATCAAAGATGGAATCCTATTTTGTGCATGTAAAAGGAGTTACTTGTTACCTTGGCTTTGCCTTGGTAAAAACCATCGTACAGATTGTGCAACTTAAACCCACTGTATTCTCCATTCAAGTTTATTGCGGTAGAGAATTGTTTTGAATTTAAAAAACGGTGAATCAGTATACAATAAGGGCAGACCAATAGAAAGGGGGCGAGGGAGCTCACTGGTAAACTCGTGCGATTGAAGCCATGCTCAGTGAGTTGTGTGTGTGCGTTTGCCTGTCTATACACATATGTGAGATATTGGCAAACTAAACATTCGCTTGGTTCTGTAAGAAATCCATAATCAGAAGGATACTAATGTCAACGGGAGCGATATTCACCATGGCCTGTGAGACGAAGGAATAAGAAAATGATTCTGAACAGCAGAATCAGCACTAGCTGTCGTAACCAACGGATGAAGAATGCGCAAACCAAGAGCGAGCGATGGTCAAAGCCGACTGGTTGGAAGTCCCAACAATGCAATCAACCACATCTAATTGCTGTCGGTTCAGATATAAAGGTGACAAACACAGCC